ATACCATATCAAAGGAACGTTTTATAATAGGTACATTTAGCATTTTACCCTCAGAGAATTTATTGTTAAGCAAACTTTCTCGCTTTTTTTAGGCATTGGGGTTATTACCTGGTACTTAAATATATATTAAGCATATAACTATGATTGGGGTACTACATTTCCTATAATAATATAGCTTGAAACTTATAAAGAAGTTTAACCAATATTAAAGGACATATGAACTCTCTAAACTTCAGATCAAAATACTAAGTTTATTTTAAAAATCTGTTAAGATGTATGTTTTGAGTAGATAAAAATAGGAAGACAAAAGATGGAAAATATAAAAAAATGTTGAGCTGCCATGATTTTTTTATAGACACTCCACCTACTTAGTAGCTACCTAGGCCAGATTCATAAGACCATAATTTCTGTAGTTTAATTAAAAATTATTTGGCCTGCAGAACATCAATCGATGCGATATGTGCACGTCACCTGTATCATTTTTTCCTTTTTTCCAATATAAATTCCTCAGCTCTGTGGGTTTAGGGCACGAATTTTGCGAGTATGCCAGGGGCAATTAATGGGGTTTTTGGACCTGCGGCATTTGCACAGCCACACTCATTTCCCGCCCCCTCCTTTTCCATTCGTTGCAGATTCCGCCTCCGTGGTGGTGCACGTCATCAACGGGGAGCATCCGGCCCGCCATGCAGGCACGGCAACAGCAGCGCCAGCTGCCTGCGCCCCCTTCCGGCCACGTCCGTGCCTTTCGTCCTTGCCACCAGGATCTCGATGACGGTGGCGGCTGTCGCCTGGAACTGCAACTTCAACGGCAACTGGAACTGGAACTGGAGACCCGACTTGAGCTGGCACTGGAATTTGCATTGGAACTGGAGCAACATGGCCACCAGTCTATTGGGCATCTGGAGCTGGAGCTGATGCGTCCTAAGGAATCGCCAATCCAAATCCAAATCGCTGAGCAACAGTCCCGGCCAAGTTGGGACTGAAGAACCGCTCCTCGCCAGTTGCATTTAATGAGGCGGAGGAGCGTCTTACGAACTAGTGTACATATACAGTGTGTCCTTTAACGAGTATTATCTATAAGACATCCCCGAGCAGGCAGGCAGTATTACAAGAGACAGAACTTTTAATCAACCACAGTCACAGGAAGAGTCTAGGCTAAAACAAGCACTAACCCACAACCCAGAGAAATTAACAAAACCTAAAGTAATAGCAGCTGTTTTTCATTCATCCCACAAAATCAGTGTTGTCATTGTATTTCATTTGAAATTCATTTGGCTTAACCCAGGTTTATAATCACCACAGACTGGCCAAAAGTCAGCAATTATTGAAAACCTTTCGGTTTACAGTATCATTTTGGGTTCACTGATGCAGAAATGTCCGATTGTATATATGAAATACACATCAACATCAATATTTTAGGCCCTCGATTGTTTATTTATTTATACCAAAATCATACACCCTGCACGAGGAGAAGTGAAGAAAGGAGATTTGGGGAAGGAAACCCCGGCTATATATATATATAGATGGTTATTCAGTGTATATGGATAAGTTTTTATCTGGTTGTCAGCCGCGAAATTGTTCTACGTAGTCCATCATCTAGTTACTGTGTAAAATATTCATACTTGATAATTGTACATTTAGAGGTCGGTTTTAAGCGGTCTTGATAAGACTTTTAAGCAGTAAGAGCGAACGGATCAACGATCCGATCTCGGTTCAACCAAAAAGATAGTAAATGAAATTACAGAAATTATAAAACTAACGAAAAAAATGGTAATGATTAATGATTAAATGGTAATTGAAGCTAACCTAAGCAGAGTCAAGTATGTTTTTCTGTTTAAACAATGCAAAAATAAACGAACAAATGTTTCTCCATAATAAATGAAAATACGGTTATGGTTAAAGAAAAAAAAAAAAAAAAAGGAAAGTGTGTATGCACTAAGCGGTTTTCTCATTTCATTAAGAGGTCAGGCGGGGAGCTTAACGAGCCGCCTAATGGGAGGTGGGTGAAAGTACCCACATATAAGTAAGTATGTATGCAGGAGTAAAAGTTTTTATCCTATTATGGCAGCATTTAATTAACGTCCGATTTGGTGGCCCGTACGCGTAGCAGAAATTGCTACGTTTCGATCATCTTCATTATGCATACGCCACGTTGGCCCGCAAATCCGACAGCTACTGGCCACATTCGGTGGCAGCCACAATCCATGTTGCCCCCCCCCCCACCTCAGCAGCCGCTGCCGCAGCCTATGTGCCCCCGAAAATGAAAGACTAATTAAGCGGCTTATTTGCGCGTATTAATAGACCAACTTGTGGTCAGGCTCAGCATGTGTTATGCGCCATATATGGCATGTGTGTTTGTTTGGTTCGACAAAAACCGAGGTGCCACTGCCAATGGATCCCAACTAGTGGCTAAACCAACATGTATTTATATTTCGATTTTAACATAGCAACAAAAAAAATGGCATCCCACGCAAACAAGGACACAACCAGCTATACCAACAAGCACTCGGTGTGTACGTACAACCAAAATGGACTTATAACACTGTACGGCAGCTTACGTGACGGGGATCAGGATCAGGGACTTCAGGGGCAGCCAACAAAAAATAATACAAAAAAGGGTGCAAAAGTCAAAGGAAAATAAATGGTTTTGCAGCTTTTATTTACTTGAGAGACTGGGAAAAATGGGAAGGGGGTAGCTCAGTCAAGGATGATGCGGCAGTGGAATCAATGTAAGGGTCACAATTTATTCAATTGCCTTTTGCCAAGATATTTTTATGGTGTGTCCATGTGCCTGGACACCGTACATGGCCAGGAAAAGAAGAAGACCTAATCCCCAAATCACAACGGAATTACAAACTGGTAATGGTTATGTGGCGGAAGAAATAGAAGAAGAAGGTTTTGGGGGCCGGGACTTTTCGGCCCCAAACCCCCGGCACATAATGGCCAATTGATAGCCAAAAGGCATTAACACGCCAAAGAAATTCCCCTGGCTAAAACAGAGATGTTGCCAAAAAATCGAGCAAATTTTCAGCTAACATATATACACACCAACTTACATGGCAACTGGAGACGGGGGAAAATATTAAGTTCAAATGTAGCAGAAATCCAAAATACGTGCCATGACATAGAAAACAGCAATGCCAAAAGGGGGGAAAATGGTGTGGTGAGGGGGTGATATGGGGGACTTTTGGGACAACGTAACCAATCCCTGAGCCACGCCCCCTTTTTTGAGCCACCCCTCTAAATGAAACTAACTCCCCTGTTAGGTGCGGCGTGCGTGCGTGAAGCCAAAATCACGTCCCATTCGATGCGTTGCCACGAGAATTTATTGGGGAAAGGTCGGAAAATTCATACATCGATATTTTCAGACACCCACCTGATGTGGGTGTGCAAAAGTGTGGGTACATCGGGAAAAAACCAGGTTATAAATTCAAGAACTGATTTACGGGAAACAACACTGTGGTTGCATCAATTTAGTTAAAAGCCATTTATGCAGGCCAGATAACTATAAAAAGGGTAAAAACTAAACAATTACTTTGAGCTTGTTTTTTACATGTTCTACAAATGAAAATATAAAAATAAAGTTTCATTTTAACTTTTTGATGTACCCATTATAAAATTCTAAAAGCCTTAATATTTCAAGATCTCAATTTGAGGTCAAGTTTTTGCTTAGCAACTTATAAAAAAATGCAAGCAGGGGAAAGCCCAGTAACTTAAATTAAAGTCACACGTTTCAGAAGAAATGGGGCTTCGAATTTTGCACACTATAATTTATCAGCTGTGCCAACAACAACTAATTGCGAGTCTTTGTTTGCATAGGTAAAAACAATGGTTGTTAGAAAAGATCTTTGGCCAAAGAAAAAGTGCAAAAACCGAATTAACTTTTCAAAAGCTGTGCAAACATTGCTGAATGGTGCCTTTTGAAGATTAGTGAGGTATAAAAGCGAAGGCAATTTCCCAGTTAAGGCACATCAAAATGCGATTCTCATTGGTATTGATCCTGGGCGTTCTCGGCAGTGTCCTGCTCCTGGGCAGAGGTGCATCGGGCTCTTCGGAATCGTCGACCACCGAGTCCACCACCTCCACCACCAGCACCACCACTGCCGCTTCTGCCAGTAAGACCGCCACCACTGCCACTTGCTCCGCCAAGGAAAAAGAGGAAGAGGCACTCCAAACGCTTGCGTCTATTGAAGAAACTTCGGGAAGAACGAGACGAGAAGGCCGGGGAACACGTGAAGAAACCCGAGAGAAAGATTGAGCTTCATAAGAACCATGGGCACGAGAAAGCATCCGAGAAAGAGCATCATCATGAAAAGGTGGGGCACGAGAAAAAATCCGATAAAGAGCATCATCATAGTAAAAAGCTGGAGCACCAGAAGAAATCCGAGAAAGAGCATCATCATAGTAAAAAGCTGAACCACGAGAAGAAATCCGAACATCTCCATCAAAAATCTCACCGTCGCGAATAGGTGCTAGCCCTATCAGAACCATCGAAATAATAACATAAAGTAGTCCCTTTAACTTTATATATTTTAATTTAACATCTATTTAAATGAATGTTTGTAAACTCATTTCTTACTTAATAAAATATTAATTTTCCTAATTATCATCAACAAATACAAAATGCGAGTCACTTCTTTAGCTTTAGTTGGGGAGCTACAATATCATTTTAAGTGAAAGCAGATCAAGGCTTTCAACTTATGCGATCGTTGATAAATGATATTTGGAGATGAAAGTGTTTTCTAAAGTATATTTTTATACTTAAAACCACAAACCACACTTGTTTAAGGTATTACATTAACAATTACTTTGAGATTTTTATTTATCAATGAAATATAAATATTATGGATAGCTTTTAAATATTTATATCACAAAACAAGAGTTAAACAGAAAATAGCACATGTTAAATTTAAATATAGATATTTTAAAAATTTAATATTAACTTTCTTAAACTTTTTTCTTTGTGTAAGAGTATGTTTAGTGAAAAATGCAATATGAAATGCTGGCACCAAGTGGGAAGACATAGACAAATGTCCACCCGTCTCGTAAGCGGATGAAAATGACTTACGCATCGAAACCGTAGCAACTTACCTGCCCCGAACTGCAGGACTCTTAAAAGCGTTAAATATTTTACGATATGGTGCAACTTGACTAGCCCACTCGACTTACTTACACCCCCTTCATCCGCTTCACCCATCCCCGCAGCCACTTTGGAACCCTTTTCCCCATTTCAAACCCCCTTCTCTGACTTCTCTTGGCTCAAAAGCGAACGAGTGGCGTAGTTAATGGCTCAGAAGCGTACGAACGAATGAAGTGCAACAACTACAGCAACTACAACAAGCATTTGGGCCAAGAACAGCAACAGGAACTAGGAGAAAAACAGCAAATAAATTTATGAAATTTTCATCAACATTTTTGACAACAACAAACGAATTCAAAACACAGCGGGTGGGTTGGTGTCGGTGGGTGAAGAAAAAACATTTGTAAAATGGAATATAGCAGGGAAATTGTTTAAATGCATGGAAAGTGCTCAAGTGCGATAGGAAGCTAGAGTGCGTAGTGAAAAACCTCAGGAACACAGGGAAAAACAGAGGGTTTTTTTTTCAATTTGACAGACAGACAGGCCTTCTCGTTTCAAATGCTAATTGGATTTATCTACAATGTTGCGAAATATGAAAGGAAATACTTCAGGGGAGGTACAAGTAATTGAAATTGAGTAAGGAATGGCCAATTTATATTTATTCTATTTTAAAATGCATAATTTAAGCAATTTAAAGACTTTTGTATCATCCCCATTACCTAATTTCCCAAATAAAGCCTCATCGAATTGAATCGGTGAAAAAAATCGCATTTTTCCCTGTGCTGTTTAAGTCGGGGAAATCAAAGAAGGAAAACCAGCCAGGCACGCCATGGCAAATGGAAAACGCCAACAACAACGACAGTGGCTAATGAAATCTCTGAAGTGCATGGAAATTGCTAATCGGATGTGTGTGTGCGTGCCAAGGGGGAGGGAAAAGCTGGCTGGCAAGGGGACTGAAGTGTCGGAAATGACGTCTAGGGGTGCTGGAGGGAAAAGTGGGGGGCGAGGGATAAAAGCCAAGTGAAATTACTGTGGCCAATTGCATGGAAACTACGCACAGGATGCAACCGAAAGTTCCGAAAGTTCCCACAGTAGTTAGCAACGGATTAAGCGAATCAAGCACAATCAGATAATACCAATCCCAAATTCCAATTCCAATTCCAATCCCTTTCCCCAGAGAAATTACAAATGAATTAAGCATGAAACTTTTGGGATAATTTCTCAATTCAAGGCCCCGTCCTTAAACCCCTTCGATAGCATTTTCAACTTGGATGATTTATGATCCAAATCCAAATCCACATTTGCATAGATACATTTATCGATACTCGCAGGTAAACAAAAGATGCTGAATGATGGGGGCCCAGGGCCCCCCCATCTCAGGAACCATCCAAATATTTGCTTAACTTGAAGAGGGTGATTCTTGTGAGGGGGCCTTAACGGTAATGTTAATGGCAACGGTATCGGCATCGGCATAATCCCGTTGGCTTTCCATATTGTTTCTGACAGCAGATCAATCGAGTGGAAAATGCTTCGGCTGGCGCTGCGGGCAATCGGTTTATCGGATATCTCCATTATATTTAGCCGATAATTGGCCCACAAGCAGGTGTAGCGGGATCCCCTCTGCTGTTGTATCCCCCGTTTCACCCATCGAGATCCAAGGATAACTTTATAAAGTGCTGGAGCACAAGGTGAGATTGCATTAGGAGCTGTCAATGAATGGACCAAAGTCAAGACAAAGGAACCACAAAATTGCTGAGAGTTTTCAAAGCAAAACAAAGGCACCAGCGGCAACACAAGAGGGGATTTGGGGGGTTTCGGAGGGGTACTTTCGACCAGCATAGCAAAGCAGTCACTTGTGGAAAGGGGGGGTGGTCGCACTGGGGGGGAAATGCAGGTGGAATGGCAAGCAATGTCAGTTTGTCCCTACAATTGGCCCAAAGCGTTCTATTGTGTAGATGCCGTCCCCCTTTTCCCCATTTCCCCAGCACCCCTCGAGCTGCTCCTTTCTCTGCTTTGGCCTGCTCATGTTACTCTTAAAGGCCCCCAAACCCCCTTATCTCTCTCTACACATAGAGTAAATATCACAATTCCTAACTACAAATAATGAAAGTCAGTATGAATTAGTTAGGTTTTAATCAGAACCAACTGTTTTCAGTATCTCAAAGGTATATTAAAACAGCTAAAAAGCTAATACCAGTTTAGGTATAAACATACTTTAGGTTTCTATAAAGAAACAATAAAAGCTTCTCCGACGTATCTTAAAAATGTATCATAACCTTCATGTAAAAATAATTAAATAAAACTTCGTTAACAAAAATTAGATCTAAAAGTATTATTATTTGAGTTATTATCTTATGCTTTGTATACCCAATACTATAAGCTAGCAGAGCGATTTATTGCGGAGATATAGTTGACAAAAACTATATGATGGGTTCATTTTGTAGAGCCCAAAGAATTTAATACATTTATTGTTCAAGTTTTTTTCTTCATGCTTTTGATTTTGTTTAAATTATTTCCAGATAGGTTTAATAATAGTATTTTCTCTTGGCATACTTAAGCCCTTTTTATTTAAGTGCATAAATACAGAAAGCGAGAGCCTGAGTTTTTTCAGCTTGAAACGATAAACAGACTGACAATGGCAGTTGGAGAAGCTCCTTCAGCTTACGGAATCCCATAGAAAATACTCGATGCTCCATACCGAAAAATCGTCGTTTATTCTCTGGCCCCAAATCTAGACCCCTGGCTCTCCTAAACCTTCTAGCACCCCCCATTTCGCCTCCTCTTAACCCACTGAACCCCTTTGCCAGAGACTCCATCGCCATCTCATTCGCTCTAACCCCCTCTTTTGGGATAGCACGTTTTTATGACTTAATGCTAACAAACGCATCCACGTGCCAAAAATAATCGTCCGACTCTTTCTGTTGACTCGGCTCATTGTGCCTCGGTTTTAGCCCAATTTTGTTGCCAATACGTTTTAGCCATGTTTGTACAAAACGCAAACGGATTTGCCAATGTTTATGCCATGGATTATTGCGGCATGCGTAAGCCGGTCTACGTGTATTGGCCACCCACAAAACACCCAGCGGCCACCCCAAATTTTCCGGTGTGTTCGGGAAATCCGTGTGGCCAGAAAAGTGGCCAAGAACATAAAGCCCCAGCTATGACTATGGCCAGGTGCCCGTGCCGATAATAATAATAATAATAGGCCACCGGCAATGGCAGCGGCTAAAAAGCCATCAAGAAATTTATGATCCCAAACTGTGAGGGTCTTTAAAATTCAACCCATTTCCTGAGATCCGGGATTTGATGCTGATTTGAAGGATGCTTTTGCCTGTGTTGATGGTTCTACTGCTCCTTTAGCATCCTGCGCCCATTTTCCCTCATTCTTTTTTTCGACATCCTGCAGCTGCCAATTAGCGAGCTATGTCAAATTGTCTTCCAGAGTGTGCTGGAGCATCAGCATCAGCATCAGCGTAGTTATAATGCGACATTACAATAAAAAGTGCGCTTGTAAGCTGACATGCAACATTGCTGCAATTTTCAGGAACTACTGCCACTGCGCCGAGATGACGACTCTGATGACGAATGGGAGTGAAAGAGCGGAAAACCCAAGGGAAAATGGGGGGGCTTCGGGGACTGCGACTGGGGGAAAACTCAACAAGAGATTGAGTGGAATGCTGGAAATAACGAAGGTTGCCGCTTAAAGCTTTGACAGCTGCTATTGCTTTGCGTCTCTTGAGCAATTGAATTTTTGTATCCAGTGGGGGCTAAGACCCCGTAATGCCGACGCAAACAGGATTAGATGGCATGCCAGCTGATTGCCCATTCGAGGACCATCAGGATTCGGTTAATTATTCAAGAGTATGCAAGATGCAACTTGCAAGTTGCAAGTTGCTGGTTGCTAGTTGCCAAATGCCAAATGCCAAATGCCCAATGCATGCATTGCCGAATTCCGGCTAAATATGCAGGAGCACGTGGCGCAATCAAGGCAAGACAATACCAGACTGCCTCAGTCGATTAATTCGGTACACTTTTTGGTCTGGCATTCCTCAACCGTCCTGGGAAATAGTTTCTCCCCCAGGAACGCCTAAGCCCTAGGGAAAAATGTGTTTACCACCTCTTAAGTCTGAATTCTTATTGAATTTGCCAAGCAAATATGAGAAGTTTGCCTGAATTCCTTGCGTAGATATTTATATATCAAAATTTTATATGCATATTTTAGCTTATATATATTTAATAGCGCGTTTTGTAAATACTCTTCTGGCTTCTGACTGCACACATAAAATAATAAAACTGGAAACTTTTATGAGTACCCTTTTCAGAGCTTGCCCATTTAATTATCCTTACCCTCCAGCTGCCCTTTGTAGATATGTCGAACATACAAATGTT